TCGTTCCTACTGCACCACACATGTAATCTCATAGTATTCGTCCAACTTATGATTTCAGATATAAAATAAATTTCGTCTGTGCAGATTATCATTGCTTACGTAATTTTGTTTATTTTTTGGAGCATTGCTTCCCGCTGAATGGCTGCTTTCATAGTCCGCCGGCCGGCAGGAGGACTATGAAAGCAGCCAATGCGATGCTGGAACAGTTAGCTTTTAAATTCAAATAAAAACAAAGAACTATTCGATCATCACCATCCCCGTCGTGTCCTTGCCCAAGGCCTCTTTTCGACGCGTCGTATATGTGACGGGTGAGAATTTACGATTTAAAATGGGGTTTTGCCGTGCCGGATTACTGCAAGAGCCGAGTGCTCGTGCTGAATTTTCGTTTTTGTGCTGTGATGGTAATGGAATAATTCTGAAAACGGTTTGCCATCTGCCAATTATGGCCATTTTATGGGAGTATGCGTTGTTGGAAGTGAGGCCCATTTACATTACTGTTTTTCGATGGACGCACGTGTAAAGGGGAATCAGAGTACCAAGCCCCTTGACAAACCAATATCGGGGGCGCGTTGCCTACGCCAAGGAATCGAAGGTCAGGTGAGCTGGATACGCCATGCGATCCCGTGATATCGGTTGGACCAGGCCAGTTAACGAGTGGTTCCCTCGAAAGTCACGAACACAAGCGGCACAACCATCAACGCGATGGTCAGACCTCTTCACGAATGTTCTGACAGATGAAGAGTATGCTGCATTTCCTTTGGACCGAGGCAATCCACTGAACCACATTGCCTAGCACTAGGAAGAATGGAGACGTTAGTGACATCCCGCTCAATCAAATCGATGATCAACGGGACGACAGGTGCTGCATCAACCCCTTCCGTAGGTTCTCTCCCTTGATTTCTACTCTTGTACAGTCAACGAATCAGGAAGAAAAGGTTGTATGGCGGATCAATTTGATGGAGAAAAAAGAAGCCAGTCGTGGGGGTTCCACTAATAATGATAGTATGCTCGCTTCTTAAGCTTCTCAGTTTTCTTTCATTTGATTACACAGGCCTTAAGCTGCAAATTACATCGCAGTAAAGGACTATATGAAATGGGCTTATACCATCTCATTATTGTTATATTCTATAAGCGTCAAGCTGCGATTCTGATCAAAAAACCATGGCTCGAAATCAATGAGTGAAGGTTAAGCCTGTTATTGGGAGGAAACCTCATTTTACCTTGCTTGAGCTGAATTGATAGCAACCATGTCGTCGAGAATGGATCGAAGCAGTGGATGTTGATGACCTTGTTCTTCTCTACTGACCATTTGAAATATAACATCCCTTCTTCCGTTGGCATACACATCCAGAATAAGCTTCTTTCCAATACTTCGTACCTAAGTTGCCAAATCATAGCAAGATGGAATGGTATCTGGTATTTTTCGTAAGAAGAGTCAGTTGCTGACAAAGTTCACATCATTAGGAAGCAGTGAGTGCCGGTGGAATGGGTAAAAAGGTCAACATTTGCACTCATTGCTTTTTGGAATAGGCTTATTGTTCTTTCATTTGAGCGAATTTTAGGGCAAATCGACGCCATAATGGGTTGGTTTCAATAGCTTTATTTCGTTGTATTCCACGCAGACTTGTTCAAAGGGAAAGGAAATATTGCATATGTATATTGAACTGAATGACTTTTGTTGTAACGGATAGCATAGGAGTTCAACCGCAAAGGCGCTGCCGGAAGGCAGGATAACAGGCAAGATATGCAGATGTGTGCGTCTGAGATCAAGCTGTGATTCCGCGGAGCGCCTGTTGAACTTCTATTTCGCTCTATCTGAGGACCTAAACAACATTTTTCTGAAGGGCAAAATACTGGCATGGGGCGGAGGTGGTATAGCGGCAAGTGGGGCACAGTGCCATATGCAATCCCGGTCCCAAAGATTGGAACCCGGATTGGCATCCTTTCAGGTCAAAGAAAGCTCTCACGGATGTTTCTGGATTAGGCTAATTCCTAACAGACTCTCCGGGAGGATAAAAGCGTTGACTTGTATTACATCGAGTGGGCATCGCAACTCATTGTACAGGCCACATACGCGTTCAAAAAGACGCGGCTGAATGCTTATGAATTAGGGAGCGCATACCCAGACAGGGTTGATGAAGCCAGGGGAATTGTCGTTCCCTTGAGGTACTTGTTTTAAGTGGACCAACCACCGACGAGGTGCTCTAGCATGCCCTCAAGTGTTTTTATATTCATGAAATCGGACCAAGTTAAAATGACCCTATGATGAGCCTACATTTCTTCCCTTTTCAGTAACTGCCAAAAACTTTTCAGATTGCTCTTTTCTCCAAAAACTCGCCCGTTTTCTAGCTCAACTAGCTGCAATACATTGAATCGTACCAAAAAGTCTGAAACCGGTGGCCATTAACGGAATGTAGCCAGTAAAGAAGACTGATCGGGAAGGGTGTTCTTCCCCATTTGTATTCCCCATTTCACGTCATTGCTGTTTCTTATGATTTTGGTACAACACTGAGACCAAACAAATCAGGGGAACTTCAGTTTTTAGAGCCGATCAGAGGCGGAAACTCCAAAGAATGAGTGTGGAATGTGTAACCCCGAAACCCCGCCCACGTCGACTAATGTCTACATCACATAAAGGTATCATTAATAGTAGTTATGGAAGCACTGAATTGGGTAGCGAATCCTAGCCCATGTATAGGGAAAGGTTCTTGTTTATTCAGTGCCACAAATTGCTTACCTCTGGATCAGCATTTCGCAAACAATCCAAACCGAATTGGGTGACAGCGTCTTCAGTAAAGCCACTGAAACGTACAGCAATTCATTCGACCCTTGTGACGTTGGCGAGAAACTCGCAAGTTTTTTCTCAATAAAACCAGTTCTCCAACTGCGCCTGTGCTTGTTTCTCACTCTGCGGCCTTGTACTAGTATTTACACTGCAAAGTTAGGGACTGACACCACGTTATTACATTTTGCTCAACTCAGTAGGAGGAAGACTTATTTGGGTGAGCTTCCAATTAAGTGACTTGATTCATCTGTTAAAATCATACTCGCATTGGGCAACGATCAAATAGTCATGAAAGAACCCCCCCCCCNTCCATTAGAGTAATTCATCGGGCTCAATCTAATCTGGCTCATCCCAAAAGGTTCCAGAAGAAGGTAGTGATCTCTGGTGAAATTTGCTAATACTGTAAAGGAGAGTGAAAGTTAAGGTTGTGGAATGTAGCTGACGCTCCTCAGTGATTGGAGGATTTGGAATTGGACCAGGTATCAGCAAAGACTAGGGGACCTTTGAAAACCCTGGAGCCCGACTCCGAAGCGTATTCAATGACAGAGAATGGCTGAAAATGAAAACGTACACTTCAGCGTTGGGTGTGCCGAGTAATTCGGCAGCATTTTGAACGATGGTTGCTTGTCCTCGCTGACTACCACGACTAAGCGGTTTCAGAAAACGGGTGAGAAAAGCCTTCGCAACCTGTAAGTATTGAAGTTTACGAAAATACCGATCATACAGAAGGGTTTATTCAATTTTCAGCTTCCCTTTTTTTGTTGAACACATAGGAGAGTCAATCACGTGCGATGACCATTCTTTCTTCAAGGTTTCATTGATGATTTCAACGCCAATACTGGCTCCGAAAGAACGGTTGAAGAACCACATATCTGGACACACAAAACGGAGTCAATGAGCACACCGAAAGTTGTCTTAGTAGATCATGCCTGGCCTCATCGTTCATAAATATTCCAGTTCCAGATGCCACTCACTTGCGATGGACTTGGGAGTCAACTGGTAGACATTTCCACAATGAACTAGACCATGACAACTTCATCTCCTGAAGTCGGTCTTGTTCTATACGGGATCGGACCATCATTTCCTACGCACTACTTTCTGTTTTTCAGTGCGTGAGAGAGCAACGAAGTTTAGGAAACGAAGACACAAAACCGTCATCAACTGGAACCACTTCGCTTCGCTTGCGAGTTTCTGGGAAGCTTACATCACGACAACATCGATGAACAATACGACCGACTCGTGGAACATCTTCACGATAGTGCTAGGGGAGTGACTCCATAAGTGGCCAAGCAACGTCTCTCTTTTCTCTTGACTCTTGAGCTGATACGCAAGCGTGAAACCGTGCGAGCTACGGAAAATCATCAACAGGCGCCCGAACTTGCGAAGCTATGCGGAGAAGCGATAAAGGAAGGTCCTATAGAGAGAAGACCAGCAGTTCTGGCCGAAGCTCCCGAAGCCCGGGACAGCATTCGCAGAGTCGGGCAGAGCTTCGCCATCTACAGGAACAGTTACTGCATCTCGAAGGGCGATCGAGAATCGTCATCAACGAATTCTACTCTAATCTCCACGTCTATCTGCCTATCTACCTTGTCGGGCAAGAAGGAATACCGTTCCTTCAGCTCACCGATTCGGAATTCGACATGCCATCACGTCGATTAGAATGGTACGGCCTAAAAAGTCTTTCACCATTCATTGTCAGAACTCTGGTTAAGTTCTTCACGCGGTCCCTGCCGGAATG